ACATATTAATGTGAAAGAACGTATGGGTGTGAAACTTAGTCTCTGACATTAAGAAAGGAACAAAGACTGAGGGTGTTTGAGAACAGAGTGTTGAGAATATCTGGACCGAAGAGAGATGAAGTGATAGGCTGGAGAAAACTGCATAATGAGGAGCTTCATAACTTGTACTCTTCTCAAAGTACATGTATAATTAGAATGATCAAGTCAAGGAGGATAGGGTGGGCAGGGCATGTAGCACGATTTGGGGGAAGAGGGCTGCATATAGGATATTGGTGGGAAAGCCAGAAGAAACGAGACCACTGGGAAGACCAAGGCGTAGGTGGGTGGACAATATTAAAATGGATCTTACAGAGATAGGATGCGATGGTATGGATTGCACTGATCTGGCTCAGGATTGGGACCAGTGGGGGGCTCTTGTCAACACGGTAATGAACCTTCGGGTTCCATAAAATGCTGGGAAATTCTTGGGTAGCTGCAGAATTGGTTTCTCCTGAAGAAGGGCTCAGCTCCATGAGTAAGTAAAGTGAGAGAACACGTGTGCAGTTCTGTACACCCTGGCGAAGGGAGGGGAGGAGGCTGAATGTTACTGTCTGTCCAGAACCACTTTACAAGCAGCCTATTGAAATAGGCTGTACCCTCTGTTTATGTGTAGACCCACTTTTCCGGGACGTTAGCTACGTGTGACTATTGCACCAATATGTACTTGAAATAAATTTTCTTTCCTGACAAGAAGACATACTGCACATCTGCAACACTGCTACAAGAGTTCGTGATTAACGAGTGGCTGACTTCCCCCCCCCCCTTCCTGGTACTTCTAGATTAACTGAATTTTGCTTGCTTGCTAGATGAACTGGTTCATGCAGCATTAACAGACCCAGGTTATCTAACTTTGCTTTGTACTGACGATTTGTGCTAAAACACTCCGTTAGCAGAGAATGATTAATTGGTTGCAGTTGTTTCCATCCCTTCCTATGTCCGCAGAAGCGCTTACTTTCCCGTGCCAGTGCTCTGCTAGATGCGTTGAATGAATGCATGCATCGGCAGGAGCAGAAAGCTGTAGCAACGTACTGACGCCGCACCAAGCTCCTCTGAAGTGTCAGTGAGTGAGTGTCCATCTCTTCTGTAATCAAACTGCCCTCCCCTCGAGTCTGCACAATCGCGCGGCAGTCAGCATGTTGCTCATGGAGCGCAGGCTGCGCTTACTTGTTCCATAGCTCGCCACCCGGCATTTTACACGTTTCTCTTTAATTCTTGTTTTGTCTGTACAAGGCGACGCCGCGCTCTGCCACCCCAACACCGCGTTACTCTCGCTATCCGTGAACCCTGAAGTTGTGCAACAGACGGACGCTATGTAGTCTTATCTTCTGCTCTGAAGATGGAACAGATCAACTACAGATCAGATCTTTTGCATTCGTCAGATACTGCAGAAAAAATGGGGGTACAGTGAGACAGTACATCAGCTATTCATAGACTTCAAGAAAGCCTACGATTCAGTTAGGAAGGAAGTATTGTACAATATTCTGATAGAGTTTGGGGTACACATGAAACAAGTTAGGTTGATTAAAATGTGTTTAAACGAAACGTATAGTAAAGTCCGTGTAGGTAAACATTTGCCTGTTAAATTTACTATCCAGAATGGTCTAAAATAAGCAGATGCTTTATCGCCACTGCTTTTCAACTTTGCTTTAGAATATGCCATTAGGAAGGTCCAGGGAAACCAGGTGGGACTGAAACTAAACGGGACACATCAGCTGTTGGTCTGTGCTGATGATGTGAATCTACTGGGTGATAGTAAAATGTAAAGGTAAAAAAGTGAAGCTGTCCCTGTACCAGGGCATGGAGACCCATAGGGGTGTGAGACGTTGAGGCTCCCACATTCTCTAGACAATCGGCAGATGGCGGTAAGGTTGTCAGCCTTACGCGCCGGCCGTCCTTTACCACCCAGGAAGATTCCTGGTTCTCATTTCTGTTAGAGGTTGAGTCGACCCCAAGAACACAGGGAGACTGGAAGGATTAGGACAACTGGGACTCGAACCCGCAACCTTCCGGATTTTAGACGACAACAACGTTCCCGCGTGCCCCTATAAAATAATAATAATAATAATAATAATAATAATAATAATAATAATAATAATAATAATGTAACGTGTATAGCTAGGGAACGGCGCGATAAACACCTCGCTTAAAGTCACATAAAAACAGGACGAATGTTTATAGCTCGTTGATAGGCAACAGTCAGCGAGCCAATGGACTGGCGAGATATTCATCACGTGACTTGTTTTCTGTGTGGTGAGTTTAATCAGACTGACTGCAGTGGGAACACGGAGTTCCGGATTTCGCCTATTCTGAATCCTTGTCAGTCACATTCTGCATGTATTGACGTTGCATCAGCTGGTCTCAAGTAACATGTAAACTGCTTGGCTGTAGTTGGTTCATGTCGCTTTCTGTGGGCTCAGACAGGCACACACACACAGATCCAACTGCCCCACGGACTTTACCGAGAACCAGCACTTCACCAGAAGCAAATAAGTCAGCAAACCAAGATAGGTTGTCCCTGTAGAAGTCGGACCTGCGATTCTTGTATCACACGTACACAAGAGCTGAGGCTGTCCACTCGGCACGGCGGCCACTGATTGGCCTACTGTACCTGCCCCGGGTGATTATGATGATCGAGAATTTGGTGGAATGAATATTGGCAGGGGAAACCGAAGCACTCGGAGAAAATCCGCCCCAGCGTCACTTTGTCCATCACAAATCCCACTTGACCAGACCCGAGATCGAAACCGGGCCGCCGTGGCTACCTCCCATTCCAATTCGCGTTCTGCTAACACTGGTCCAGTATGTCGTGAATTCAATCTGCATAAGCAAATGTAGTACAAAGGTCTTTACTCGTTTTCTGCCGCTGCTAAGATAGTACTTTCAAGTTAAGCACAAAACCGAAATTGACGGCCTTGTGGATTCGTTGCGCAGACCATGTGACAGCCTCTATCCGCTAAGGCTGGCAACTTCGCCGACAAGCGGCGGTTGCTCGGTCGGTATAGTTCGCTTGCGGACTAAAACCACGGAGTTTGCTTGCTCTATCCTCTCGTTCCTCCAACACAGTCCTATCTCCAAGCAGTATGAATTTCTAACGAGTTAGAAAATTAACGCATCCCTCCTCGATTTTGACGAGTTTCCTTCCGTTTATTTAATTTTCTCGAAAATCGAAATACAGTGCGTTCAGTTAAGGAGGAAACTTCGCAACACCGCTGCCCGGCCCAACATTCCTCACAGACTGCTGCTGTAACTGCTGTTATCGGAATGAGTCATTAGCGCTGATAAACGAAAGCCGTTACAGCAGCAATCTGTGAGGAATTTTGGGCTGGGTCAGTCGTGTTGCGAAGTTTCCTCCTTGATTGAACGCCCTGTACTACCGGAAATGTCGTACTGTACGTGAGATATATTTCTGTTAGAAACATTTAGCTCACTGCGATCGAGATGTGACGCAGCAACTACAACAGTGTCCGTTCCTCCCGTTCCGGCTTAACCGGAAACGCAATATATGGACAAACGTCACTAAAAGTAACAACAGCGAATTCCGCTCATGTTCGCTCAGCGATTCTCAGTTCTTGCGTGTGGGCAGACAGGCATGGCGAAGATAAAGGAGAAATCTCGTAACAACTACTTCCTAAGCCGCTCAAAGTTCAAAGGTCAGCTCGAAGAACTCTGCCGAGCAAACGAGAAGGACAACGACATCTTGCCCCCAAATTGCTGGCTGCCGTTTTGCAAGGAATGAGTCCATTGTTCAGTAGCAAAGTATTATCACTATGTGATATTAATCGCTGTGTAAAGTGTTAACTAAACTGTAGAGTTTCATCAAACACAAACCGTAGTTCAAAGAGTTGACCCCGCTTGACCCGGCAGCAAGTCATAACCTCATTCGTCTCAATACGCCTCTGACAATTGCAATCATAAAACGGCATTTAACTGTCTTTCGCCAAGTGCTACTGTACGAACGTTGGCGATGTTCTTCACACCCACATTTCGACCACTTCGCCGCAGTAGACTCATGATGCAATTCAGCTACTGGGCGTAGGAAGAGGTAGCAAGCAAGTAATTAAGTAAGTAAAGCAAAGGTATCCCTGTAACAGGCAGTGGACGCCCATAGGGTTGAGGTTCCCACATGTTCTAGGTTGTCATCCCTACGCGCCGGCCGCCCTTTTACCCCCAAGATTATTCCAAGAATATTCCTGGTACTCATTTCTCTTAGACGCTGAGTGGATCCCAGGGCCACAGTGCTTCTGGGAGCATTAGGTCAATTGAAAAAATCCAATGACCTCATCGGGATTCGATCCCGCGACCTACCGGCTTGTAGCATAGTGCCTCAACCAACTACACTACCGCGTGCCCCAGGAAGACGAAGCAGATAACAAATCTACAGTTTCCGGGGATTCCAGAAAGATCAAGGGTATCGAAATTCCTTACAACGAAGATAGAGATTTAGCTGATTTACGTATACGGAAGTGACGTCATTATTAAGGTATTCGGCTAGAATCCTGACCTTAAACCGAGTCTCCATTGCATTCATTCTCAAAATTCACCCTCTTTAGTGTGCTACAGGCCCGCCAGTCAGAGAGAAAACGTCGGATACCAGCTGGAATTTCTCTACTGAGTATAATTTATCGAACTTGGATTAATTTATTTCGCAGTAAATTAGTAACTAATCAATGTCTTGTTGACGATCAGTGAATGCTGTCACTTAAGACTCCAGTCTCTCGGATTATGACGTCATCTATCATTGCACGAGGTGACTACAATGTCTCGGAGGGACATCATGCCCTGAAGTTCCTCTGAAATGCAGAACATAATGTGGCAGAACCCAGAAGATCAAAATCTGAATTTTCACCGGCCTGGAAACCTCAAATCTCTCTTCCGGGAAGGCGGGGTAGGGGTAGGGGCTCTTTCAATATCCAGACTATATACGAGTAAAATGTTGATATCGAACCTCGATCGATACTTACTTTAGTTGTGGATTCACCGACGCTGCAATTCACGGGATGTGCCCCCACACGAAGAAAGTCAGCACGCTGCCCTTTCTGTAACGTGAAATTGAAAAGGACATCAGGGCCCAAGAATCGAAATATGCTACGTACTTAACACAGAATTCATGACAACTTCGGCTGAGGCCGCACGAGCGCACAAAATGCGTCCGTTGTAACGAACGTCGTGACGTCCGTTGTAGAAATAAACAAGAGAGGCGAATGCTACGCTTTCTTCTGACTCCATTGCAGACAAAAAGCTACGCACCGCATTCTGTAACTGTGTGGTGTCCTCAGCAACGTCCGTCATACAGTACGTTCGTTGCAACGGACGTACTTCGTGCGCTCGTGTGGACCCAGCCTTAATTGGTATGGAAACACGCATCTGCCTTACATGTAGAAGATATTCAGTTTGGATCCTGTGGTGAAACTGCCTTCACGACTGAGCAACTGAGACGCCGCGCAGGCCAGTGCAGACAACTTCAACTGCTGCGTTTATCCAGTGTCACCGATTCAAATGGAATTCAAATACAATTCTGATCAGTTGGTGAGAAATCATTACATTTTTTTTTAATCGGAGGAAACTGGAGAGGGTACTTGGACACGGTGGTTAGTTGCCTGCTTCCCACCGCGGTGGGCCGGGTTCAATCTCAGGTCAGTTCATGCGAGATTTGTAGCAGAGAGAGCGGCAGGTTTCCCCTTCCAATTCTCGTCTCACCGACTGCCCCATACTCATCAATCATCTGGGCTGGTACAATAGGCCCACTAGAGTCCAACCCACCCCATCAAATAATCAGGCGAGGACTTAAATAAAAACCAACTTAACGACACACAGTGAGGGTGTGTGGTCTGAACTGGACTACATACAGGGGCAGCGCTGTGTTCCTGTGAACACGGAAATTCGGGGACCTGCCTATCTATCTGGGCGAGTGACGGGCAGCGTCGTGTTCCTGTGAACACGGAAATTCGGGGACCTGCCTATCTATCTGGGCGAGTGACGGGCAGCGCCGTGTTCCTGTGAACACGGAAATTCGGGGACCTGCCTAACCATCTGGGCGAGTGACAGGGGCAGCGCCGTGTTCCTGTGAACACGGAAATTCGGGGACCTGCCTAACCATCTGGGCGAGTGACAGGGGCAGCGCCGTGTTCCTGTGAACACGGAAATTCGGGGACCTGCCTAACCATCTGGGCGAGTGACAGGGGCAGCGCCGTGTTCCTGTGAACACGGAAATTCGGGGACCTGCCTATCAATCTGGGCGAGTGACAGGGGCAGCGCCGTGTTCCTGTGAACACGGAAATTCGGGGACCTGCCTATCTATCTGGGCGAGTGACAGGGGCAACGCCGTGCTCCTGTGAACACGGATATTCGGGGACCTGCCTAACCATCTGGGCGAGTGAGCTGCTGTATGTAGGTCTCCGGTAACTGGCCAGCTGCTGTGGAATGCGAGAGACCCAGTGACCGTGCGGGTCGCAACGGATGCTGTTTGGGCCGAGGCCAAGGTAAGCTGCTGCAGCAGCATGTGGGGGGGTCAATGGATTGGCTCCTTCTCCAGTTATGACAGAGGCATCTGGGCATCTTGGGGACTCCGTACAGATCTGTCATATCGTCACCATACAAGCAGTGTTGCACACACATATTTCAACCTGTTCGGCCATCATTAAGCCTTCTTATGTACGACAATTAGAATTGAAACTGCTGTGTCCTATTATGACTACCATATACGAGTACAATGAGAAAATGACAAAACTAAAACTACCCTCATTTAGTGCGCTATTTTTTAACAAGTCTATTTAAGTTAATCAAATTGTTAGTTTAATATATCATATATGTGCTCTTAACGATCCGGGATTGCTCGGTCGGCATAGTGACGTGTTAAGGGTAGGACGGCCGGAGATTTTTCTCTACTCTACAGCATCTAGATCGGCCCTGGGGTCCATCCAAAGGGTACCGGCGGCCGAGGAGTGAAGCTGATGATTCTGCTCCAACTCATGCCGAGCTCAAGACTGGTGGAGCTATACCTCCGTTGCCACATATGATTTCATGGCGTGGTACTTAAATAATGAAGTCGAGGGACAATTTTACCTTTTCTGTAGAAAAAAATAAGGCAAAGTTGTCCCTGTGCTTAACTAATTAAACACTACCCCCATGAAGGCGTATGAGAGAGTGGATGTACAGACCCACGTTTTCTTGACCTTAGCATGAGCTGTAGGTGAGTGGTCAGCTTAATGCCCCGGCTGCTTTACCCCCGGGGAAGAGTCCCCGGTATCCATTGGATAGGAGGATGGGTGGGCCCCAGAGCCGGTCTGGACCACACTGAGAAGAGAAAATTCTTGCCCCCACCGGGTCTAGAACTCCGACGCCTCAGCGTCCAGCTCGTCGCCAGTCGCTATCCCGGCTCCCCTTGCCGTTTATGTACGTTTAACAACGATCTGCATGCAGACAGTAAGATGAGTGTAGGATCGCGGTGCGGGGACAGACGAGGGGTGCCGCGACATTGCGACATCATGTACCCAACAATAGCAGTGTAGTTTCTATCACAGCAATGAAAACGTTACTCCGTTACTGCTGCGCTGTTTATGAACTTCTGGGATTGGAAGTCATCTTTGACCGTCCATGTAATATTCGAGCGAGAGCCGTGTTTTGATAGACTGTGGCTCAAGTGAGGTTGGGGAGATATAGCAGGTTAGCCCAAGCACTATCTGCTCCGAATTCTATTCGGAAGGTTCTCGGCTCACTCCGAAAGCACATCAGACATAAACATTCTGCGCTCTCCGACAATCCTTCCGGGCAAATGCGGAGAAACTGTCTTCCACTTCATAATGTACAGTTACCTTTCCTAGCCAGCAAACTAAGAGGTGCGGTCTTTAGTGAGAAATTGACATCCATTTCTCCTCAAGCCATTTCCCCCTTATCATGGAACCCGAACAGTACACTGCCATAACCACGGTCCCTGCCCCTCTCTTTCTTCAGCCGCAGCACATTCTATTTCTTTATTGCCCATTTTAATATTATCCAACCCGTCTATAACTAAATCTCTCTAATGATCTTAAGTAGTACGCATACTTAGTTTTACACTTTTTATCTACAAGAAGGGCCACTTAGATTATGTCATTGACAATAATTTGTTTCCAGCCTGCCGTTACACATATTTTCAAACGGTCGTGACCAAATTAAAATTTTGGGTGTAAACGTCTCTCTTTACTTCTGCTCGCCCTGTTAACCAGCGCAGTGTTCCGCTGCTTAGTTACGAAACACTGCTCCATTGACAAGAATCTCAGCCTTGAATTTACGTACTTCGCAAGTAGCCCGATTTTCTCCTTAAGTTCTAATGCAAACATAAAATTGGCTCCTTTGAAGATAAAGTAGGAACATTTGTTGCAACTGTACTTGGATCAAGCTCTAAACATATTCTCCAAATACGAGTATAAATGGTAAATTTATCCGTGTGCTGAACTGAAGTGGAGGTATAGGTCCACATTTCCTTGACCTGGGAACTAGCTTCCGATGAGCTATTATAATAAGAATGACGGAACTCCTGCTAAACATTGTGCTGAGTTACTGTGACACTGTAAGTTAACTACCATGCAGACTGCAGCGCTCTAAAGTCGCGCAGACGGTCGGCAGGGCAGGTCCCACGATCTACAAGCAGCAAAGGCACCGCTGTCCCTGTGCTTAATTAATTAAGCACTAGCCCATGCTGACGTGGGGAGAGTGGCTGTATACAGCTCGGCACTAGCTGGAGGTGAATGGTCAGCTTTATGCCCCGGCCGCCTAACCACCGCACAAAGAGACACCGGTACACAAGGTTGGATGGGACACAACAGATTTCAACAAGACGGAGTGAAGAGAAATCTTGCGCAAACCGGGACTCGAAATATGATCCCTCGGCAGTCCAGCTGGTAGACAGTCGCTACCCCGGCTAACCCACAATTTGCATGCAGTATAATTATGAAATCTGAGACTCGCTCACGTTTAATATTATCATTACGGTATTCTAAGGGTACCAACGTTTCGAAGTGAACTGCTATCTCCGTCCTATCCTACCCTGAACATGGAGGCAGCGGATTCCACCGAAATGTTGATTCATGCCTATCAGATTACATGGTGTCGCATCCCAGAAATTCATAATTACAACGAATTACTACGATAATCATGAGTCGCTTTTGCGTTCCGTGTACCCACCACCTGCAGGCGGTTCGGGCCTACATGGGCATATACTGTGTGTGTGTGTGTGTGTATATATATATATATATATACGGCCTGAAACAGTGATGCGGTTGCAGGCGGTTCAGGCCTACATGGGCACATATATATATATATATACAGTAGAACTTGGTTATAACGTCATCAAAGGGACCTAAAAATATTGTCGTTATAAACGAATGTCGTTGTAACCGAAATGGGCACTTCCACAGTAGCCTTATGTTAGTCACGTAAAAATCTACCAAAAACCGAGTTATAATGTTACATTTTTTAGTGCAATACGTAGTTAAGTACAGACTAACGTAACATTAACGTGGAATTGCCCAAATGTGTAATATCAAAGACATATTACAGCGCTTTTCACTGACAATACACACCGCACTAATACTGTATATTAAAGGTAGGCCTACTCACCAAATTACAGTAGATTACATCAATTGTTGTGCCTTACTGTACCTAGATACGAGTACAGTAATCAGTTATCTTCATCTGTTTCCTGTTACTTGCCCAATACACACTTTCTAAATTACGTTCAATGTCCATATCAGAGAAATTCAGGAATGAAAATGACGTTACATACGAGGTTGATGCATTTGTGCATGTCGTACTAAGCAAGGTACAAAAACAGTTGCTTTATGAGGAATTAGTTCGTACCATTGAATATTTGACGCAATAGACAAGGTGTCGCAGAAACCGATGTTGCTATAACCAAGTTTTACTGTATATATATATATAGCAAGCGGAAGGCAAGGAGCCCTACTTCGTTGAGAGATGACAAAATGCGGATTTCTCAGCAATCAAACCGTAGCGCCGATTGTTTACTTCGAGGCACAAATCAATTCGTTTGCTCTCA